GTAACTTGCCACGTCAGAGCCCCGGCCCAGCCACGGGAGCCGGACTGGCTGCACTGGCGGCGGGTCCTGGGAAGGAAGGGGGTTCAAATGAAGAGCTGGGGCAGAGGATACAGAGAGGCGGCAGGCAGGCAAACACTGCCCTTGGCTTGCTCGCCAAGTACCAAGGTCATAGCCCTACTCAGCCAGGGGCAGGATGGAGAACAAGTGGGCCACCCCTGGGAAGAGGTGGTGGGGGGCAGTCTGACTGTGAACTCCCTGTGTGGGGAGGGACACTGCCAGGGAAACTCTTGAGTGGAAACAGATGAAAACCAAAAACAAACAGAAGAAAGTAAACAAATGAGAAGACACAGAATATATAATTACCTTTTTCTGAAAGGTACAGGAAAGAAATGTATAAGAAATGATGAGAAACTGGAGGTGGCTGATGGAGGGGGAGGGCCACTCCATGCTCTTTTTAAAGCTTCCTCCGAATGCTCAGTACTGGGACCAACTACATAGAGAGGTAGATTTTAACAAGGTGGTTTTGTTTTGTTTTTGTTTTTACTACGGTGCTGATGTATATGTAATGTCTAAAAAAAAGTTATTTGTAAATAAGTTTTTACAATATGACAGATATCACTGGGTCTACTATCTGTAAAAAAATATACATATAAATATATATATACTGTTTGTTTAAAATAGAGTATTTTTATTTCATTCCGTAACTCATCATCCAGCAGTGGTATTGCACTTCAGATGACATCATATTACTAATTTGTACTGTATGACCTCGGGCAACTTCCTCCATTTGATTCAGATTTTTCTAGTTTTCTGTTTTTACTTTGTACATTGAGCATTGCTTATTTCCTTTTAAGAAATGTACAGAACTCTGAAATGTAGAAATGAAGTGATGTTGACATACCACTTTTAAAGAAAAAAAACAAATAAAAGATCATTATCTGAACCAATCCAAAGTTGAGTGTATTTTAGGACTGTCCCTGGAGCTCCAGCCTTAGTTAAGCAGATGGATTATGCCTGGGTTTTAACTGATTAACTGCAGTTCTTGTCTCAAAATTTTTATATCATTATTTAAACATTTAAGTAACAGTGGAGATCAATCATTCCCAGCCTTTTTAATTCCACCACGCTACTAAAATGTTCTAAATTTGCAGTCCAGGAGATGTGGCAAAGGTAAAAGAAGAGAGTCTGGCCAGCACCACCCACAGAGAGTTGAATGTGCTTAGAAGTTTACAGCCCTCCAGACTGACGTTAGCCAATGACCTGCCAGGAGCATGAGAGCCCAGTTAACTTGCCTGGACAAACCCTGAGATAGCATTTCTGTTCCAAGGTCCCCTGCAGGATCAGGCAGAGGCTGGGACTTTGCCAGAAGGTGCCCCCTTGCTTGGCTTCCTGCCTTTTTCTGCCCTGTTTCCCCCACTCCCTCAGTTTCCCCTCCTGGGAGCCCTTCGGTAACAAATCACACACATGTGAATCCTCTCCACTTCTAGAAGACCTGACCTAAGTCTTCCCATCAAACTTTAAAAAGCATGGTAAAGCAACATGTTTCAAAACTGTCTGGGTGAAGCAGAAAAAGAGGCCACAAGAATAGAATAAGGTCATCATCAAAAATAGATCCAAAGCAAAGGTGAGTTTTGATATGTACAAACCAAGAGAAAGAATGAACTTGACTATGGAAGAAGAGGCCAGCCCTACCCATGGTGGGCTGTGTTTCCAGACCAGCTGACAAATAACACCATGTAGAAAACAATGTGACACTGGGCTTTGTCCCAGTGATATGGGCTCAGTGACATGAGATCAAAAATGAACTGATTCGCGGGTGGGGATGGGAAGGCTGACAACAGAATAAAAACATGCAGTCTGAGAAGGGCTCCTCGTCCTGATGAGGCAAACCCACATATTTTTATTTACTGCACTGGATGGATGGAATACCATTCTCCTTTAAAATGGTTTCTTATTTATAATCGTGTTGACCTTTATAAAGTCCCAGCGCAGCAAGTGTATAACGGGGGAAGAAGGAGAATAAACATCTTTCCAAGAAGTCAGTAGGCACTTGCCCCGTAAGGAGGAGGTATTTTATCGCTGAAAGTTAAGGCACATTCGAAAGCATTAAAGGAGCTATTTCTGCCTTTAACCATTCTTTTCAAGGAAGGTTGTATCTAGAGAAAAAGGATAAAAAACAAATGACCTAGTATTTTTCCTTATTAATGACTTTTTTGGCCACACCTCCTCTACTTCCAATCCTGCAAAGTGCGAGAGGAAAACTACCTTGGAAGAGAGCAGGGCTGCTCGTTTGTGTAGTCAGTCCCTTGCCTTTCTAACTGATTTTTCATTTTAAGTTCTAAGGACATCATATTTCCATGCTGGTGTTCTCTGGACAAGTTACTACAGACACCTGTTTCATTTCATAACAAGCGGAGGTAATTAGGGCAACATTCACACACTTGGGGCCCAAGCGTCCCTGCCACGTCTAGGACAGCTGCTGGGCCAGAGCTAATGCTATGGTTCTATCCCTACCTCAGATCCCAAGTCAAGGATGCAGCACTCAACATAAAACTCTTCAGAGCTACTGAGAACCTGACTTTAGCTTTTAACTTTGCCTCAGATATTTAAACTTGTATGACAATCATTTTCAAACAATCAGAGAAAAAGAATGGTACAATGAATAACTATACACTTACCAACTTGATTTGATACTTGTTAACACTTCACCATATATGCTTCACATACATATTTTGTGGAACCATTTCAAAGTAAGCTATACACGCCCAGTCACTTTACCCCTCAACCTCCCAGCATACCTCACCAAAGAATTAGGGCACTTTCTTTCCTAGACACAACATCATTATCACACCTAACACAATTAATTCCCTAATATCTAATTCTCACTCCTTATTCAAATTGTCCCAAATGTCTCCCATAGCTGTTTTTTTCTAACCAGGATTTGATCAAGGATCCCACATTGCCATTTGGGTTTTATGCCTCTTAAGGGTATCTTTTAATGCAGAAAAGTTCTCCTCCATCCCTTTGTTTATAACATTGACTTTTTGAGGCAAGGAATCTGATTTCTAAAAATAAAATCAGTCAATTTACTAATACGTAAAAGATTATGTATGTCAGATCAGAAACTCACATCTCCCTGGCCAACACGTTTGCTCCCTGTAAAATCAGTCAATTTACTAATATGTAAAAAAAATGTATGTCAGATCAGAAACCCACATCTCCCTAGCCAACACGTTTGCTCCCTGTAACCAAATTATAGGAATTAAAATCGTCAAGAGGTTGCCTTGGTGACAATAGAATTGGAACAAAGGAAATAAATTCTATAGTTCAGATATTTTTAAAGATAAAAAGCTTTGATATGCGGGTGGGACCATCTTCTTTTTTCCACATGTTGTTTAACCAAACTCTGTGTGTGTGTCTTTGTGTGTGTGTGTATGTGTTTATAGTTTACATCTTTAAATAGTTCCAATTTAAATGCAAGATAGAAATTGTTTAAAAATTCTCAAGTGTAAGATTTGGAAAGTTGTGGGTTTTTTCCCACTTCCAAAGGATAATGAGTTTGCAGTAATTATGCTTTATGGTCAAAAATTTGCACTTTACCCCCTGGCGGGACACATTAAATTTAAGTTCTCCATGAAAATTTAAAAAAAAAATTGCACTTTCTCTTCCTTTATTGTCTTCAATGTGTAAAACAACTAAAATGTCACAATACGAGTCACTATAACTGACTGAAATACTAAAAAGTAAAAAGACCACAGAATCATAGCATTTTAAAATATTAGCCCCATTTTACCTGAGAAGAAAACTGAGGCAGAGAGCTACACGGCTGTGGTAGCATAGCCAGCGAGTGGTAGAACAGGATTCATGTTGAGTGGCCCTGGAGTCTACACTTCTTTTGCTGCACAACCTCTATGGTGAGCTGCCTTATCCAGAGTCAAAGAGCCAGTTAGTGGGGGAACTGGGCTGATATCCGGATACCCCATTCCCAGACTGGTCGTTCTCAGTGTACTCCAGGGTATTTAGCCCAGCTATTAGGAATGCAAGAGGCTGTCGTGTCTTCTCCCCTACTATTTTGGAAACGCTAGTGTTTTAATGCCTTTATTTTTCTCTATTATTCATAGCCTCTGTAACTGCCTTTGTACCCACACACCAAAAAAGGCCCAATAAAAAGTTTCTTGGAGATGCCTACACCAGATTCAAGGCTGTCACACTTTCTTTAGAAAAATTACAGAGAGCGCTTTTCCTGATGCTAAAAAGTTATATATGCTCATAATTCCATTCTGCTAAGGTCCCTGAAGACTCATTCCCATTTTACAGATGAAGAAAGTGAAGAAGGGTCATTTGCCTTGTGCCAGACAGTGACTGCACGGGAAGTGCAGTGGAACCCAGCCTAGGCTCTCCAGCCATGACCATGACCCTCCTTCCCCTGCCCAGGGGCAAGATATTCCCCGAGCACACTTCTCTGGATGGTTTCTTAAAAATGACAGACCCTTTTTTTTCCTTTTTCCTTTGTTCGTTACAAAGTCCATTTTCACAGCCAGATGTGTTTTGTGCTGTTAGTTGATGACTCTCTTCTCTGGCTACTTGATGTGTTTGCCTGACTTCCCTCACCAACTGTTGCATTCCTGCAACTAATGAAGTGGGCTCAGCTGCCTTACCAGCATCTATCTGGAACTTCCCATCAAGAGAGAAGCAGTCTCAGAGGTGAGTGATGGCAGTGGTCCACGGAAAGCCCTAGACACAGACAGGTCAGGCTGCTTTCTCCCTACACCGGCAGTCACGACTTTGGCATGTGCTCCTAAAACCAGGGCTCAACACACTTCCACTGATGCTACGGATCCTCCCCCCTCAGAGCAAACTTCAGTCGTTAAACTCACAGGAAAATCTAAAGGGGATGTTTCTACAAAGCCATTTCAAAAAGAAAGGAGACTTACTTCTTTTAATTGAACAAGTGGCACCATCTAACCTTCAGAGTGGAAACATCTTCTGCGAGCGTTTGAGCAAAGGGAGGGGGGAACGTTAGAAGTGCCTCAGCGTCTCGGCAACATTGAAGTCCAGGTATTCATCCAGAAAACTGTTTGCAATCCCCACGGTGCTTAGGACAGTCAACAAGGCCAAAACCCCCAGACTCAACCGGAAACCAGTGATCCTGCAGGCGGATGTGAGAGAGAGAGAGGTGATAAATAAACTGGGCTACAGGGATGAAGCTGGGGAGCCTGGGGCAGAACTCTCATTGTGGACACTGCCCAGAACTTCCATGTTTTTGCCATTTGAAAATTTTGATTCATCAGATAAATTAAAGAGGATGCCTAGCCACAGAGGTCAAGTGGCTCCTTTTGAACATTCAAAGGATTATCAAGGCTGGGAGGGATTATTTCCTTGGTAAATTTGGGAGATAGTGCAAAATGTTTGCAAGGATTTAAAGTGTGGTGGTCAAAAGAGTGCACACTTAGTGTACAGTTTTATCCTTGCAATTTCCTGTCTCACACCTAGTTGTGGAGGACCTGATGAGACTTGGCCTCAGGCAACGTAGATCACTTCTGCCGTCATAGCCATCAGTGCTGTATTACTCTCAGGAACAGGAAGCTAATATAGACTCCATCCTGCTACTTTTTGTCTAAACACACAATTCTTGGGTGTTCCTTACCTTTTCTTTAGCAGCTTCTGAGTATCCCCAGAAATACTGGTGATGGACATATATGTACACCAGACTTAGACAAGTATCAAAAAACTATAGAGAAAAAAAAAAGAAAAGACACAGAACATGATGGCAGCCTCTCAAAATGCGGTGTGAAGATTGACAACAGTCACAGAACGTGTATCTGACAAAAGACTTGTGTGCAGAGCTCTGGCAATTCAATAAGGAAAGAAAAACAACTTAATGTTTTTAATGGGCAAAATATTTGAATAGAAAATTCACATAGCAAGATAAACAAATGTACCAATACGCACATGAAAATTTTTTCAACATTATTCAACATCATTTAATATCAGCAAAGCTGCAATTTAAAACCACAACGAGGTGACACCACTTGCACACCCACCAGAAGGGCGAAATTTTAAATAGACTGAAGCATAAAATATTGGGGGTGTTGGAATCTCATACATTAGTGGTGGGAATGCAAAATGGTACAGCCACTTTGGGAAAAGTTCTGGTAGTGTCTTATAAAACTAAACATTACTTTCTGACCCAGCAATTCCTTCCTTTCCTGTGTATTTACCCAAGAGAAATGAAAGCACATGTCCATAAAAAGACTTGTACAGAATGGTCACTGCAGCTTTATTCATAATAGCCAAACACTGAGAACAGCCTGGAAATCTATCCACAGGAGAATGGATAACCAAACTGTGATAACCATACAACAGAGGCCCACTGGCGAGGAAAAGAAACAGACAACTTGCAACAAACAGCATGGTGAATCTCAAAAATATTTTGCTGAGTGAATGAAGCATTATACAAGAGTACATACTATGATTCCAATTATAGAAAGTTCTAGAATGGACAAAACTAAACTATGATTTTAAAAATTCAGAGCATTGTCTGCCTCTGAAAGGGACTGGGAAGGACCTGAGGAAACTTTCTGAGTGGTTGTCACGTTCCGTATCTTGATAGGGATTTGAGTGACACAGGTGTATACACTTGTCAAAACTCATCGGATGGTACACTTAAGATTTGTGCATTTCACTAAATACAAATTTTACCTAAAAGAAAGGTAAAATGTGGGGTTATATTCTGCCATCCAGTCCAATGAAAACTCTCAGTATCTTCCCTACACTAGGGACCCTCTGCTTCCTCAGCACTTCACAGATGTAAATTGTCAGAGCCCTCTTCGAAACACTAGAAGTCTGCCTGTGGGACTCTGATACGCTGGATAAAATGAAATTCTTTATTTTATTAGGTCATAAACATTTTTTTTGGCTTCTACTATATACCAGGTATTATTCTAAGGATTGGAGTTAGCTGTGACAAAGATACAAGCTCCCTGCCCTTATGGAGTTTATCATCAAAGACAGACAACAAAGGGGAAAACAAGAAGAAAAATAGACTTGAACGTGCTGTGAAGGAAATGAAGGAGGATGGGCCGCCAGGAACTGGAGGAGGCCGCCTTTAGGAAGGGTCAGGGAAGGCCCCTCTGAGGGGGTGACGCTTGTGCTGGGCCCCGAAGGATGAGAACAGGAGGAGAAAGGGTTGGAAGGGCCACCTGGCCTCTGAGGAAGGGGAGAGGTTCTGAGCACGCTGCGGTTTAGAAACTCCCTATCTAATCCATTACTCCCACAAATCCAATGAGAACTGTTCAAGGCAGTTAACAGGCAACCTACTCTGGATAAGAAAGAGTGCAAATTACAACAAGATACCCAAGATATCCTCTGACGCCAGAGTTAGCCCGTCTGCAGCAGTGTCCTTGGACGCAAACAGACAGTGCTTATTTTGTATAAAACAACTTCCAGGGTCAGTAGATGTCTGGTTGCGTATCTGCTGTTTAATAGTTGTAAGGACCATAGTCGTCATTAAACTTACCTTAGTTGAAATACCATCCAGCCATCCACAACGTAATCATAAATATTGGGTAAAACTCCACACAGTTTTGTCTGCAGGAAGAAAATAAAGACGTGGGTTATTTTATGAAAAAAACTATACACCAAAGCAGTGAGTTTTCATCTATAGGTACATGTGCACCCTCTTCTTACAAAAATAATTATAAGAATTAACCTAAAGAGCATAAATGTCCTTACAGGTAAAATTAGTCTTTCAAGGTGGGACTCAAACATTTTTTAAACCTCAGAGCAGGGCTAAGAATCACTCTTCTACATGTAAGTTGCCAGCAATAGAAATGAAGTGTAGCTCTTTTCCAAAAGACAGGCCTGGAGATGGTCCTGATTCCGAGCCTAAAGATCATTCTGTATCTTATCTAAATAACCCAGAAAATAACTCAATTCATATTAAATGGATTTCTTCCCCAGAATTCCCTTGCATCTATTGCCTTCCATTTGAGTTACTCAGCACATTAAAAATGGTTTTTAAATAATTCCCCTAAAGCCTCCTGAAATAAATGAATGAGTGTATTTCATTCCCATTTTATGGAGGAAAAAAAAACTAAAGACTGAGAACCCAAGCTGATGGATGCCTTGCAGATAGTCTGTGTCATCTCCAGATTCCAAAGCTCTGTCCTAATGTCAAGTCAAATAGCTTCTATTCATAGAAGACTTGGATGGAAAATTTGACACTATTTTAAGCGAAAGGGAATGCTTCTCTGGGAACTATAATTAATTCATCTGCACCTAGCAAAAGGAAAAAAGATGAACTATATTCATCTTCCTTCCTGTGCTACACCCCCAAGTGATCTTGGTTAGGTTGGCTGAGCTCTTTCCTGACAATATCACAACCAGAAAAAAAACCTTTAATGTAATTCATAATGAGGTTTTGAGTTGATCCTGGTGGAAGAGTCATAGTCTACAGGATTAGAAATGATCCTACATGCTTCCTTAAGCCGTACAGCTTAAGTATGTAAGGTTATGAGGCAACTGACCCAGAAACAGTTGATTCTGGTTCTTGAAGGCTGAGTCTTCTAACGCAGGTCACCATGAATGATTCTTCCCTCTTTTCTTCCCTTTTTTTCTTTTCTCTTTTCTTTCTTAATGAAAAAAAAAGGTGTTTTGTTTTCTTTTCTTTTGTGACCAAGATGGTGACATGGAAGCTCTTAAACTTCCCTCCTCCCACAGATGCACCGAATGTACAGATACACACAGAGCAATTCCCTCGGAAAGAAATCCAGAAGTCAGCTGAGTGACTCCTACACATCAGGCGAATAAGAAAATAGCCACACTGGCAGTTCCCTGGTGGCCTAGTGGTTAGGATTCCAGACTTTCACTGTCGTGGCCCAGGTTCGATCTCTGATCAGGGAACTGAGATCCTGCAAGCCGTGTGGCATGGCCAATAAATAAATAAATAAATAGTAGCCACACTGAAATAAGCAGGAGAAGCTGAGACACACTCTCATCATAAACACCACCCCTGGCACAGCACAATACATTCAGGAGAAAATCCTCAACCCCCAGCTTCTCCCTGAGGAGCAAAGGGCTTAGATTGCATATCTAGCACCCCAACTTTTAAGACTTCCACCTGAGGGCTGGGTCCCCAAAACACCTAGTTCTGCAAGCCAGCGGGGCTTGCATCCATGAGACCCACAGGACCATAGCAAACAAAGAAGCAGTTCTTAACAGAGCACATTGAACACTCAGTATAGCTAAGCCTCCAGGGCTCAGTGCAGAGGGAGCAGGCAAAAACTCCTGTCTCCAGTCTTTCTCTAGAAAGGGTTTGACTGCATACTTTACAAGCTGATGCCTGGAGACCCAGCTTCTAGTTTAGCACATATCCAAGGGCTAGCTGAGATCCTCTCTGGAGCCCAGGGGAGCTCATGGGCACTTCTCTTGCCTACTTCCTTCAATTTGCTCCACTGATAAAACCAGATTGCCAGCATCTGTCTGGAAGGAGTCTGTACACACATCTGGCACCCCAGCTTTTGCAGCTTCTCTCTGAGGGACCGGCCTCCAAATCACCTAGCTCTGATAGCCAATGAGGCTTGCACTCACAAGTCTCACAGGACCATAGCAAACAAAGAAGCAATTTTAAACTTTGCAAGCCAGAAGGGAGTGGGAAGATATACTCAAAGTGCTGAAAGAAAAAACTGCCAACGAAGAATACTCTACCCTGCAAAGTTGTCCTTCAAAATTGAAGAGATAAAGAATTTTAGAAACAAAATCCGAAGGAGTTCATCACCACTAGACTTGATATAAGAAATGTTAAAGCGAGGTCTTCAGAGAAAAACAAATACTGTATGATATCACTTACATGTGGAATCTAAAAATTTACAACAAATTAGTGAATATAACAAAAAAAGAAGCAGTCTCAGAGATATAGAGAACAAACTAGTGATTACCAGTGTGGGAGGGGGCAATAGAGGAGTCGGGGAGTGGGAAGTACAAACTACTGGGTGTAAGATAGGCTCAAGGATGTATTGTACAACATGGGGCATATAGCCAATATTTTGTAACAACTGTAAATGTAATGTAACCTTTGAAATTTTTATTTAAAAATTAATAAAAATACTGACATATGTAAAAAATATAGGTCCTCAAGTTGAAATGAAAGAATGCTAATTACTAATATGAAAATATATGAAAGTATAAAACTCACTAGTAAAGGTAAATATATAATTTAATTCAGAATTCTCTCATATTGCAGTGATGGTGGGTAAGTCACTTACGACTCTAGTATAAAGGTTAAAAGACAAGAGTATTAAAAACAAAACAATAATAATTTATTAATAGCTATACAATATTGAAAAATATCAATTTGTGACATCAAAAACATAAAATGGGGAAGGACTGTAAAAATATAGAGCTTTTGAATGCATTCAAAGTTAAGTTGCTATCTGCTTAAGATGGACTGTATAAATATAAGATGTTTTATGTAAGCTTCTTGGTAACCGCAAAGCAAAAGTTTATAGTAAAAAAAAAAAAAAGTCTATAGTAGATATACAAAAGATAATGAAAAAGGAATCAAAGCATAGCACTATAGAAAATCATCATATCACAAAGGAAAAAAGCAAGAAAGGAACAAAGGAATTACAAAACAGCCAGAAAACAATTAACAAGATGTCAATAGTAAGTTCACACCTATCAATAATGACTTTAAATGTAAATGAACTAAAGTCTCCAATCAAAAAACACACAGTGGCTAAATGGATAAAACAATATAAGACCCAACTATATGCTGCCTAAAAGAGATTCAGATAAAATAGACTTTAAGTCAAACACTTTAACAAGATATAGAGATTCATTACATAATGACAAAGGGATCAATTCATCAAGAAGATATGACAAGTGTAAATATTTATGCACCCAACATTAGAGCACCTAAATATATAAAGCAAATATTAACAGATCTGAAGGGAGAAACAGACAGCAATACAATAAGAGTAGGAGACTTCAATACCCCACTTTCAACAATGAATAGACCATCCAGATGGAAAATCAATAAGGAAACATTGGGCTTAAACTACACATTAGACCAGTAGACCTAACAGACATATTCAGAACATTCCAGTTAACAACAGCAAAACAGACATTTCTTCTCAAGTGCATATGGTGTAGGATAGATCAAAAAATAAATAAACTCAGGAATATTGAAATCATATCAAGCATCTTCTCTGACCACAATTGTATGAAACAAGAAATTAATTACAAGAAGAAAACTGGAAAATTCATATATATGTGGAGATTTAAAAACATGCTCTTGAACACGAGTCAAAGAAAAACATCAAAAGGGAAATCAAAAAATACCTTGAGACAAATGAAAATGGGGACACAATATACAAAAACTTATGGAGTACAGCAAAAGCAGTTCTAGAGGGAAGTTTATAGTGACAAATACCTACATTAAGAAAAAAAGAAAGATCTCAAATAAACAACCTAAATTTACATTTCAAGGAACTAGAAAAAGAACAAACTGAGCCCAAACTTAGTAGAAGAAAGGAAAAAGCAAAGGTTAGAGAAAAAATATGAAATAGAGACTAAAAAGACAAAAAATCAATGAAACTAAAAACTGATATTTTGAAAAGGTAAGCAAAATTTACAAGACTTTAGCTAGACCAAGAAGAAGAAAAAGAAGACTCAAATAAATAAAATCAGAAATTAAAGAAGAGACATTGCAATTGATCACACAGAAATACTAAGGATCATAAGAAACTATTATGACCAATTATATACCAACAAAGTAGACAACCTAAAGGAAATTGATAAATTCCTAGAAATATACAACCTACAAAGTCTGAAACATGAAGAAATAGAAAATCTGAATTGACCAATTACTAGTAAGGAGATTGAATCAGTAATCAAAAACATCCTGACAAAGAAAAGACTAGGACCACAACTGGTGAGTTCTACCAAATACTGAAACAACAGTTAATACCATTTCTTCTCAAATCCTTCCAAAAAATATAAGAGGAGAGAATACTTTCAAATTCATTTTGTGAGGCCAGCATTACTGTGATACCAAAGCCAGACAAGGACATTACAAGAAAAGAAAATTATAGGTCAATATCCCTAATGAACATAGATGCAAAAATTCACAACAAAATTTTAGCAAACTGAATTCAACAATATATTAAAAGGATCACAACCACAACCGAGTGGAATTCATCCCAGGGATGCGAGGATGATTCAACATACACAAATCAATCAATGTGATACACCACATTGACAAAATGAAGGATAAAAATCACATGACCATCTCAATAGATGCAGAGAATGAATTTGCCAAAATTCAACATCCTTTATGATAAAAACTCTCAATAAACTGCGTATAAAAGGAACACACTTCAACATAATAAAGGCCATGTATGACAAGCCCACAGCTAACATCATACTCAACAATAAAAAGCTGAAAACTTTTCCTCTAAAACTCAGGAACAAGACAAGGGTGCCTACTCTCATCACTCCTATTCAACATAGTACTGGAAATCTTAGCAATTAAGCAAGAAAAAGAAATAAAAGGCAACCAAATCAGAAAGGAAAAAGTAAAATTGTCT